AACCTGGCAGCTCAACGGTACTGTGACGAAATCCTACGCCCACACCTCCTTCCAATCATTGATCGCCAGAGGGAGTTGTTTCAACAGGACAATGCTGGCCTCACACAGCACGTCACACTAGAGACTTCCTCCAGAACCACAACATCAATGTGCTCCCCTGGCCCTCCAGATCACAGGACTTAAACCCGATCGAACATCTGTGGGATGCCCTGGACAGACGGGTGCGACGCCGTAACCCTCAGCCCCAGACACTGCAGCAACTCGCACAGGCACTACAGGCAGAGTGGGCTGCGATTGGGCAACACGAGATTCTGAGACTTATTCGTTCGATGCCGAGGCGATGCCGTGCAGTTCTGGATGCCCACGGTGGTCACACGAGGTATTGACGTCAGCGCCACCACACGTCTCCATGTGACACTCAAACTGACTTTCCTCGAGTTGGTGCCAAAGACGGATAAATCTGCATTCCCAGTGTGCAATTTCGCTTTATTTCATTGACTCATAAAGCCTACAAGATGTTTCAAAATATACATAAAAATACAGTTGAAATTCCTATATGCGTTTCTTTTTCTGGGAGAGTATATTTACTGTCTAACAGTCTATTCATAAGTCATTTTCAAAGAATAGATTGGAAGATATGGTGAAGTTACTGACATGTATGTAACATGTTATCTAAAACTTTTACCACACCATCGGGCTGGCCAGCTGTAAATTTAGACCGTCCGTCAGAAATCTAGCCCGTCTCGGGCAGTCGGACGGGCCTTATTTCATACACTGTGTACACACCTCACAATCCTCAATGACAGGGTACGTTGTCTCTACGTATACAACAACACTTATTCAAATGATGTGTACACTAAAAGTAGGGGAACTTCATGGGTGATATAGCGGAGTTAATCAGTGTTGACATGATAATAATGAATGTTATGCGAGTGACCACCACTTGCACTTCCTTATGACCTTAGTTGCTTGTACAGTTTGTACATCGCGCTTGTAAGATGATTACAGTATAACGTGAAATTTGCATGTGTACAATTTTCATTTAACATTTAACGGTTTATGAGGCACGACTGAAAGGCAATCGTCTAAGAAAGGTACCAACCAAGGGTTTCGATCTATCGATCACAATACAGACGACGAATCGATCAGGTATCAGAAACTGATATTGATGAGGTGATTACCCGCAGTGAAAATAGAAACACTACCAGGAAAGCCCTGCCCGATTTTGTTGATCGATTTATACAGAAAGATCTTATTTTAAGCATGAGTTATGTTAGCACTGTATTAGCGACTAGTCACAACCATATGGTGCCGTCATGAACGGCCTTCACCTTGGAGTATCGCTAAGTATTCTTACGCGAATGCTCGATTCTCTTCATATATACATTCACGTACGATTTTCTTCTTTTTAGAGTAATTTTATGAATGACATTATATGATAAAGAGATTATTAACCTCGTGTTTTTCCGCCAAAGGCTCGCATAATGCAATTTTTATTCCTAATATATGATATTATAGATACGGAAACACACGAGGTTAATAATCTCTGTCAATCTTTGAAAAGTTTGTTAACGCTGACACTTCCTATCCAAACTAAAGGTTCAGGTTCCAATACCTTTTGGAAGAGTATATTTCTGAATATATGAATTGAAAGTGATTTCACATAATTCACATAAATCAAGTAGTTTTTGAAAACCTAAAAGTAGGTCACACACACAAGCAAGGATTGTTGGTGTGACGATCATCCTTACGTAAGAGCGCTTTGTGCTGCTAATGGGAGTGACGTCATTTATCTATACTGACGACATCACATTCGAACGTGACCCCACAGCATTCCAGTATTGTGAGGCCGTACTTGTCCCAGAACCGCGATTTCCAATAGTTCGTTCCCGTGACAGACTTGGATTGACTGGAGGCTTGGACGGCCAAGCACTGCCCGTTTGTCTCCAAATGAGAACCTAGCCTAAATTGCATAATATCTCAAATCGGAAATTGTCTGTTAAAATGTCAGTGCAATAGGGTACATGGAAATGACTACACTTAACCCAACAATATCTGCTGTTTGTTATTTTTATACCCATCAATAGCTAAACGTCTTTACGAAACTATCATGTTGTCATGTGTTCAACTTGACTTCTCACCACGGTCGGAGAAACAGCGCAAACACGTAGGGCTGGTGCTACAAGGCAGAGGTCGTTGTTGACAGACAAGATGAGCTATTCAGCAGATTTCAGCTGCCGTGAAACATGATTTGTAAGGTGCATCCTTCTTTCGATGTAAAGCAGAGATAGCAAACGAAAGCTCCGGGAATAGAATTCCAATAGCGAGATCCGTCACATCTATTGTTAAACTACGAGAGATTGTGCGGGAATGATACAGGTTGGGTGCGACTGGTAGTGACTGCTTCAACATTTAGCAGTGTCGATTACATAGGATTAAGTGAAAGTGGTTAAATGTTAAATATGCTATATTTATAGGATATCAAACGAGCTTACCCTTTCATATCAAGTTCATGTCCGTCGTGAAATAATTTTGCTTTGTCACGAGGGACATAAACTTGATATTAAAGGGTTACGAGTTTTGTATCCTATTAATTACCCACGTTCTAAAAATAATATATTGTTAACATATTGTTATGAAACCCCTTTACGAAGTACCGCGTGGGTAATGATATGTAATATTAGAACTTTCGTCAGGTTGAGTCCCATCCGTCACATGTAGAAACCGCGATGGCTGAGTGGGTGAGATCGCTGTGCTATGCTCCCCAACACCATCACCCATCCAGCTAAACTCACCCACACCCTCACCCATCCAGCTAAACTCACCCACACCCTCATCCATCCAGCTAAACTCACCCACACCCTCACCCATCCAGCTAAACTCACCACACCCTCACCCATCCAGACATACTCACCCACACCCTCACCCATCCAGCTATACTCACCTACACTCTCACTCATCCAGCTATACTCACCCACACCCTCACCCATCCAGCTATACTCACCTACACCCTCACCCATCCAGCTATACTACACTACACTCTCACTCATCCAGCTTTTACTTCACCCACACCCCTCACTCATCCAGCTAAACTCACCCACACCCCTCACCCATCCAGACATACTAACCCACACCCTCACCCATCCAGCTGTTCTCACTCTACACCCTCACCCATCCAACTTAACTTCCCACTGCCCTCCGGGCCCCCACCTCCACCACCCCTCGCCTCCACTCCACACCGCCACCACGCCCATTACACCTCTCTCCCATCCAGCTTTACTCACCCACACCCTCACCCATCCAGCTTTACTCACCTACACCATCACCCATCCAGCTATACTCTCACCCACACCATCACTCATCCAGCTATATTCACCTACACTCTCACTCATCCAGCTATACTCACTCATACAATCACCCATCCAGCTATACTCACCCACACCCTCACCCATCCAGCTATACTCACCTACATCCTCACCCATCCAGCTATACTCACCACACCCTCACCCATCCAGCTATAAACACCCACACCATCACTCATCCAGCTATACTCACCTACACTCTCACTCATCCAGCTATACTCACTCATACAATCACCCATCCAGCTATACTCACCCACACCCTCGACCATCCAGCTATACTCACACACACCCTCAGCCATCCAGCAATACTCACCTACACATTCACCCATCCAGCTATACTCACCTACACAATCACCCATCCTGCCTTACTCACCCACACAATTAACCATCCAGCTATACTCACCCACACCCTCACCCATCCAGCTATACTCACTCACACTCTCATCCATCCAGCAATACTCACCCACACCCTCACCCATCAAGTAATACTCACCCACACGCTCACCCATCCAGCAATACTCACCCACACCCTCACCCATCAAGTTATACTCACCCACAACCTCACCCATCCAGCTATACTCACCTACACAATCACCCATCCAGCTATACTCACCAACACCCTCACCCATCCAGCTATACTCACCCACACCATCACTCATCCAGCTATACTCACCTACACTCTCACTCATCCAGCTATACTCACCCATACAATCACCCATCCAGCTATACTCACCCACACCCTCACCCATCCAGCTATACTCACCCACACCCTCACCCATCCAGCTATACTCACCTACACCCTCATCCATCCTGCCTTACTCACCCACACCCTTACCCATCCAGCTATACTCACCTACACCCTCACCCATCCAGCTATACTCACCCTCACCCTCATCCATCCAGCTATACTCACCCACACCCTCACCCATCCTGCCTTACTCACCACACCCTCACACATCCAGCTATACTCACCTACACCCTCACCCATCCAGCTATACTCACACACGCCATCACCCATCCAGCAATACTCACCCACACCCTCACCCATCCAGCTTTACTCACCTACACCATCACCCATCCAGCTATAGTCACCCACACCATCACTCATCCAGCTATATTCACCTACACTCTCACTCATCCAGCTATACTCACTCATACAATCACCCATCCAGCTATACTCACCCACACCCTCACCCATCCAGCTAAACTCACCTACACCCTCACCCATCCAGCTATACTCACCAACACCCTCATCCATCCAGCTATACTCACCCACACCCTCACCCATCCTGCCTTACTCACCACACCCTCACACATCCAGTTATACTCACCTACACCCTCACCCATCCAGCCATACTCACCACACCCTCACCCATCCTGCCTTACTGACCCACATACTCACCCATCCAGCTATACTCACCTACACCCTCACCCATCCACACCCACACAATCACCCATCCAACCGTTCTCACCTACACCGTCACCCATCCAACCATACTCACCCACACCCATCCAGCCGTTCTCACCTACACCCTCACCCATCCAACTTAACTCCCCACCGCCCCTCCGGCCCCCACCCACCACCCTCGCCTCCACTCCACACCGCCACCACGCCCATTACACACAATAAACATGATATACAAGTGTAGGTTTGTTTATTCGAATATTATACAAAAATTATACAAACATCAAAACAATAAATACGATGAAATATAGCTCGACACTGTCAATATATTATGATATGAATGCTATGCCATGAACTATTTGAAGAACGTGACATGATGTTACGTCAGGACACTCGGGTCATTCCGGAACATCAGGACACTCGAGTCATTCCGGAATATCAGGACAATCGGGTCATTCCGGAGCATCAGGACACTCGGGTCATTCCGGAGCATGTCAACAAGTGCACGTTTCCCCGGCTTCTCACGGAAAGACGCGAGTGGTTCACGAATGATACCGGATGAAAATATAGTGCGTGCAGGTCACGGAAAGTGACGACTAATGTTCAACAAACTCCAAACGTGCTGGGAAGTTTGGGTCAACTCGGACACATGCAGTCATATTTACAGCTGTTCTCAATATATACACGGGTAGAATCAGTTCTCCAGTGTTCAGAGAGATGATAAGTCTGTATGATATATACCTGGGCGTTGTTGAAACTGTCGCCCACGTCAGAACCCCTTTCAGTATTGTCTTTAACTATGACCTGCATATGCCATTGTGAGAATGTATTCTCTTTGGCGGCAGGCAATTCACGAATTAGTCAAGGTTCATCAAAGCGGGCTTAGTACAATGATTGTACATCCTTTACTGTGGCTTACGTTACCATCATGGATAAGTTCAGATGTGGATGCCGTTTTTCTTTTAAACTGGTGTCAACCACATTCTCATTCAATATAAGTTTTTATGATGCAATAATTTCGACGGAATCGCCTATGATAGTAAAGCAACATTTTGTATAAAACAAGTGGTATCAGCCTCTTATACCCTTACACAGAAAGCTATGGGGTGGAGACCGCCTTTAACGACAATAGACAATATTCCAGCTATGTGGCGGCGGCCTGTAAATAATCGAGTCTCGAGTGGACAAGCCAGTGATCAACAGCATGAGCATCCAGCTTTGCAAATGGGATACGAGTTTAACGATAGTAGCTTAATTTAGATGGTTTAGACATCCAATACAGAGGACCCTTCGCCAGCAAATCTTGTTGATAAAGTAGATGCATTGAGTTAATTTGTAAACATGCAATGAAAACGCCTCGATGGGCCAGGTTACGCGTTCAAAACGGTAGGATTTTGATGATACAATGAATGAAATCACAAAACATTTTAGTGACGTCATAGTGACGTCATCTGCCACGTACGTAATCGATTGACTACCGCAGAGGACATTCAGAGGAACCACTTCACATTCCCCCAAATGCTTTCAGGTTACAAAATATTCTACATCACGTTTAAACCGACTGCGAGACTGGAACTTGTCGAAACTAGGAAGTGATGCTTTAACCTGTTTCCAATACGTACGAAACATTATAAACACATTCATTTGGTCTTCAAGAGACTTGATCTCCTATTGTGTACACTCAAAGTCCCCTGTTCGTTTGTGAGGACGGATGCAAGTTTTAAGTCCACCACATGTCAATGGCGGCGGGCAGTTCACGCTGTTTTGACATAACTCTTGTCGTTTCACACAAGATTTCCGTCGGGGAAACATTTCAGCTTCAAAGAGAGCGAACGTCATCAGGGTTCCGTGGGAATGTTTCTGAAAATTAGAGTAATGCTCTCATGAAACGTATATTTTATTGTTCCAAAACAAAGACGGATGGTGTAATAGATTGGCCTGGTTCTGTCCGGTAGCGGAGAGGAGTTTCTCACGGAATATCCACAGTGACGATCATATTGAGAACAATATAGAACAATATAGAACAATATAGAACAATATTTACAATAAATACAAACATATTTCCGTACCGATATTACATAAGATAAAACTTCGGAACCTCGCGTGAGTACCTCCATGTGAGTAACTTACGTCAACTCACTCACTCACTCACTCACTCACTATGCCCCGAGCTATCATGTATCTACTTGTTGCGTCACCCACTCACTCACTCACTGTACCGAGCTATCATGTATCTACTTGTTGCGCCACTCACTCACTCAATATACCGAGCTATCATGTATCCACTTGTTGCGCCACCCACTCACTCACTCGTTGTACCGAGCTATCACGTATCTACTTGTTGCGTCACTCACTCACTCGCTGTACCGAGCTATCATGTACCAACCTGTGCGCCACTCACTCACTCGCTGTACCGAGCTATCATGTATCTACTTGTTGCGCCATTCACTCACTCAGTCGCTGTACCGAGCTATCATGTATCAACCTGTGCGCCACCCACTCACTCGCTGTACCGAGCTATCATGTATCAACCTGTGCGCCACCCACTCACTCACTCGCTGTACCAAGCTATCATGTATCAACCTGTGCGCCACCCACTCACTCACTCGCTATACCGAGCTATCATGTATCTACTTGTTGCGTCACTCACTCACTTACTCGCTGTACCGAGCTATCATGTATCCACTTGTTGCACCACCCACTCACCCACTCGCTGTACCGAGCTATCATGTATCTACTTGTTGCGCCACCCACTCACTTACTCGCTGTGCCGAGCTATCATGTATCAACCTGTGCACCACCCACTCACTCGCTGTACCGAGCTATCATGTATCAACCTGTGCGCCACCCACTCACTCACTCGCTATACCGAGATATCATGTATCCACTTGTTGCGCCACTCACTCACTCGCTGTACCGAGTTATCATGTATCTACTTGTTGCGTCACCCACTCACTCACTCGCTGTACCGAGCTATCATGTATCTACTTGTTGCGTCACCCACTCACTCACTCGCTGTGCCGAGCTCTCATGTATCAACCTGTGCGCCACTCACTCACTCGCTGTACCGAGCTATCATGTATCCACTTGTTGCGCCACTCACTCACTCAGTCGCTGTACCGAGCTATCATGTATCAACCTGTGCGCCACCCACTCACTCGCTGTACCGAGCTATCATGTATCAACCTGTGCGCCACCCACTCACTCACTCGCTGTACCAAGCTATCATGTATCAACCTGTGCGCCACCCACTCACTCACTCGCTATACCGAGCTATCATGTATCTACTTGTTGCGTCACTCACTCACTTACTCGCTGTACCGAGCTATCATGTATCCACTTGTTGCACCACCCACTCACCCACTCGCTGTACCGAGCTATCATGTATCTACTTGTTGCGCCACCCACTCACTTACTCGCTGTGCCGAGCTATCATGTATCAACCTGTGCACCACCCACTCACTCGCTGTACCGAGCTATCATGTATCAACCTGTGCGCCACCCACTCACTCACTCGCTATACCGAGATATCATGTATCCACTTGTTGCGCCACTCACTCACTCGCTGTACCGAGTTATCATGTATCTACTTGTTGCGTCACCCACTCACTCACTCGCTGTACCGAGCTATCATGTATCTACTTGTTGCGTCACCCACTCACTCACTCGCTGTGCCGAGCTCTCATGTATCAACCTGTGCGCCACTCACTCACTCGCTGTACCGAGCTATCATGTATCCACTTGTTGCGCCACTCACTCACTCAGTCGCTGTACCGAGCTATCATGTATCTACTTGTTGCGCCACTCACTTACTCACTCGCTGTACCGAGCTATCATGTATCTACTTGTTGCGCAACTCACTCACTCACCCGCTGTACCGAGCTATAATGTAGCTACTTGTTGCGCCACTCACTCACTCACCCCCTCACTAAGTCGCTATACCGAGCTATCATGTACCTACTTCTTGCGTCACGGCCGAATGCACCTTCCCATGAACACGTTGAAGCCCGTCGTGGTGTCGCGCAGCACGTACATGAAGGGGCGGTTGACGTTGAAGACTGGGATGGCGGAGAGGTAGTAGAAACCCATCTTGCTGTACGTCCCTGCCACCGTCCCGCGCTCCGTGACGTCGATGGCGGAATCATGGAAGGCTTCGTTGACGTGCACGTTGCCGCCTTTGATCAGTCCGGACAGGTCGGCCCTCTGCTCGTCAAACAACCGTTTGATTCCGAACTTCTGTAGGGCTGACTTCATGCTGAATGACTGTGTCATCGAGAACTTAGGTAGGTACACCTGAATAGTAATGACAAGGATAAAAATAGTAATAGTAGCAGTGAGTGAGTGAGTTGGGATTTACGCCGCATTAAGCAATATTCCAGCAATATCAGGATGGGGGGCACCAGAAATGGGCAGTAGCATTACTAGGTGTAGTAGTACTAGACGTAGTAGTAGTAGTCGTAGTAGTCATAGTAGTAGTCGTAGTCGTAGTAGTAGTCGTGGTAGCAGTAGTAGTAGCAGTAGAAGTAGTAGTAGTAGTAGTAGTAGTAGTAGCAGTGGTTGTATCAGTAGTAGTAGGAGTGGTGTAATTGCTGTGTATAATGAGGAGGAAGTATTGGAGTAGAGTGGCTGCAGACAGCAACGACGTCTCTGTATGGTATCTATTAACTCTCCAGTCTGTGAGATACATTTGGTGCAGACTCGGAGTTCAAAAGGTCAAGGTTGTTCTCCACCTGCTACCTGTTAGCCAGGTTTGCACAACCTGTGCGCTGGGGGCAGTTAGCGACATAAGTACACCCAGACCTACTCTCCCAGACCTCAGACAACAACCAACATTCCCCCTCAAGTATAAATGGTATTGCAAGTATACAAGATATATGTTATTGAATACGTTAACTTCATTCTTGGTACGGGGCGGTGGGGTAGCCTAGTGGTTAAAGCGTTGGCTCGTCACGCCGAAGGCCCGGGTTCGATTCCCCACATGGGTGCAATGTGTTAAGCCCATTTCTGGTGTTCCCCCGCCGTGATATTGCTGGAATATTGCTAAAAGCGACGTAAACCTAAACTCAGTCAGTCAGTCAGTCATTCTTGGTACAACATCAGTAAAAACCTAGACCCCACACGTGCAAACCACACATCGAAAATGACTAAATTCCAAATCATTGCGAAGTTTTTATCAGGGAGTCTTTTGTCCCCAGGAGTTCCAGAACGCTGCTCAAACACAATACCAGCATGGTGGTTGTTTAACAGGGAAGACATGCCGAAACAGAGGAACAACAGAAACAGTTTCGTGGTCACAATGAATCCTGGTCTCGATGAGAATACTCACGTATGGTGTATGCAAGTTTGTTTTTTTACAGCTGGAATAATGATGATGAACATTTACAGCTGGAATAATGACGATGAACATTTACAGCTGGAATAATGCTGACTAACATTTACAGCTGGAGTATTGCTGACTAACATTTACAGCTGGAGTATTGCTGATTAACATTTACAGCTGGAATAATGCTGACTAACATTTACAGCTGGGATATTGGTGATTAACATTTACAGCTGGGATATGGCTTAATAACATTTACAGCTGGAATACTGATGATTAACAATAACAGCTGGAATACTGATGATTAACACTAACAGCTGGGATATGGCTGATTAACATTAACAGCTTGGGTATTGCTGATTAACACTAACAGCTGGGATGTTGCTGATTAACATTAACAGCTGGGATATGGCCGATTAACATTTACAGCTCGGATATGGCTGATTAACATTTACAGCTGGGATATTGGTGATTAACATTAACAGCTGGGATGTTGCTGATTAACATTAACTTCTGGGATGTTGCTGATTAACATTAACAGCTGGGATATGGCTGATTAACATTAACAGCTTGGGTATTGCTGATTAACACTAACAGCTGGGATGTTGCTGATTAACTTTAACAGCTGGGATATGGCCGATTAACATTTACAGCTGGGATATTGGTGATTAACATTAACAGCTGGGATGTTGCTGATTAACATTAACTTCTGGGATGTTGCTGATTAACATTTACAGCTCGGATATGGCCGATTAACATTTACAGCTCGGATATGGCTGATTAACATTAACAGCTGGGATATTGCCGATTAACATTAACAGCTGGGATATGGCTGATTAACATTTACAGCTGGGATATTGGTGATTAACATTTACAGCTGGGATATGGCTGATTTACATTTACAGCTGGGATATGGCTGATTTACATTTACAGCTGGGATATTGGTGATTAACATTTACAGCTGGGATATTGGTGATTAACATTAACAGCTGGGATGTTGCTGATTAACATTAACAGCTGGGATATGGCTGATTAACATTAACTTCTGGGATGTTGCTGATTAACATTAACAGCTGGGATATTGCTGATTAACATTAACAGCTGGGATATGGCTGATTAACATTTACAGCTGGGATATTGGTGATTAACATTTACAGCTGGGATATGGCTGATTTACATTTACAGCTGGGATATGGCTGATTTACATTTACAGCTGGGATATTGGTGATTAACATTTACAGCTGGGATATTGGTGATTAACATTAACAGCTGGGATGTTGCTGATTAACATTAACAGCTGGGATATGGCTGATTAACATTAACTTCTGGGATGTTGCTGATTAACATTAACAGCTTGGATATGGCTGATTAACATTAACAGCTGGGATATGGCTGATTTACATTTACAGCTGGGATATGGCTGATTTACATTTACAGCTGGGATATTGGTGATTAACATTTACAGCTGGAATATTGCTGATTAACAGCTGGGATACTGCTTATTCACATTTACAGCTGGGATATTGCTGATTAACATTTACAGCTGGGATACTGATGATTAACATTAACTTCTGGGATATGGCTGATTAACATTAACAGCTGGGATAGGGCTGATTAACATTAACTTCTGGGATGTTGCTGATTAACATTAACAGCTTGGATATGGCTGATTAACATTAACAGCTGGGATATGGCTGATTTACATTTACAGCTGGGATATGGCTGATTTACATTTACAGCTGGGATATTGGTGATTAACATTTACAGCTGGAATATTGCTGATTAACAGCTGGGATACTGCTTATTCACATTTACAGCTGGGATATTGCTGATTAACATTTACAGCTGGGATACTGATGATTAACATTAACTTCTGGGATGTTGCTGATTAACATTAACAGCTGGGATATTGCTGATTAACATTAACAGCTGGGGTATTGCTGATTAACAATTACAGCTGGGATATTGCTGATTAACATTAACAGCTGGGGTATTGCTGATTAACATTTACAGCTGGGATATGGCTGATTAACATTTACAGCTGAGATGTTGCTGATTAACATTTACAGCTGGGATATTGCTGATTAACATTTACAGCTGGGATACTGATGATTAACATTAACTTCTGGGATGTTGCTGATTAACATTAACAGCTGGGGTATTGCTGATTAACATTAACAGCTGGGGTATTGCTGATTTACATTTACAGCTGGGATATGGCTGATTAACATTTACAGCTGGGATATTGCTGATTAACATTAACAGCTGGGGTATTGCTGATTAACATTAACAGCTGGGGTATTGCTGATTAACATTTACAGCTGGGATATTGCTGATTAACATTTACAGCTGGGATACTGATGATTAACATTAACAGCTGGGGTATTGCTGATTAACATTTACAGCTGGGATATTGCTGATTAACATTAACAGCTGGGGTATTGCTGATTAACATTTACAGCTGGGATATGGCTGATTAACATTTACAGCTGGGATATTGCTGATTAACATTAACAGCTGGGGTATTGCTGATTAACATTAACAGCTGGGGTATTGCTGATTAACATTTACAGCTGGGATATTGCTGATTAACATTAACAGCTGGGGTATTGCTGATTAACATTTACAGCTGGGATATTGCTGATTAACATTAACAGCTGGGGTATTGCTGATTAACATTTACAGCTGGGATGTTGCTGATTAACATTAACAGCTGAGATGTTGCTGAGTGCGTCAAACAAGAAGCCAATGCAAATCAAGTTCTTTAACATGGATCACGACGGTCGTAGCCCTAAGTAAGCTTCGTGAAGCCGGACCCTGGGGGTTAAGGAAGTCAGACTTGAGTGACTTGTGCTGACCTAGCAAGTTTTGCTCAAATCATTGAAAATCACATTTGATCTGGCAATCCGAATGTTCAGATTCGCATTCCTTAACCGTAACTTGATAACATAAATCACATATCATACTCATTTCAAGGTTTAGAACTTGAACGGTACTGGCGAGCAAAGGTATTCTTCTGCTTAAAAGCGGTGAGACTGAAAGTTCGAATCAGTGGGACTTAATAAAGCCATGTAGATCGACAAACAAACCCTATAAGCAGCACGTGATTTGAATGCATCTTAGAGAGGCAGCTTTTTTCACACGACTCCAGTGTTTTAACTTCATGTCAAATCTCAGCCTAAATCTAGCAGAACCCATTAGCACTTGGCAACTGGAGGGTAATGTAAGCATCAGTTTGGGACGAACCCTTGATGCTATGTTAAGAGCATATGCAAAAAGAGTCCTGTTTCTTTAGTACGTCAGTATAATCATTACCTACCTCTCTCCTGGCGGCCTTCTTCATCTTAGTGATTGCCTTCTCCAAACGGAGTGTTCTCTCGGGCGTGAGCGTCTCCTCCAGCTTGCTAAGACCGTCCTTCTCGAGAGGTAAGATAATGTACATGGCGAATCGGTTTCCTTCATAGGGTAGCTCCAGGATTTCGAACCCAAGTTTTTTGTTACTGTTCCACCTGTAGTAGCCCCTTCTGTGCATGGTTGGAACCATGACGTGCGTGGTACTGTTCAAGTAGAACTTCTGTTGGCGGGTTTCCCTAGAAGCAAACTGGTCCTTCCATCGAGCGCTCATGAACAGCGTGTTGAACAGGTACAGCGCCTGGTCAGAGGTGATGTCGTCTGCTGTCAGCTTCCCCTTCAGCATTCCATTGGTAGCAGACGACACCATGTTGTTGATGCTTGTGGATACTTCAGACTTCCTCTGGGGGTCAAATTCCTTAAATGTTCCATTAAACGTCTGTTGATAATCTTCAGCTGCCTTGTCGACCAGTTGGAAATTCTTGTTGACGAACATGATGTTTGTGGTAGAGATGTTGACGTTTGGGTCGTCCACGAAACCACGATATACAGCTCCATATACTGATAACATCTCCCGCTTGTCGACTAGCTCCAGAAACAAGCTCTTTCTGAGTTCGTTGAGAGTCTTGTCCGACGCGCTTCTTACACACACAGCGAGGAGAGTGCAGAGGCTGAGTGGAGAGAAGACGACGTTGTTGTTGCTGGTAGCGACTTCTTCGTAGACACCAAGACTCACCCGGTTACAAGCTCTAGCCAGGAAAGGCTGGAGTGCTTCGCCTGTGACACGTCGGCTTGGTTTACAGTGCACATCTGTAAAGAAAATACATGTGAATAAAAGGCCATACAAGTGAATGAATATTGTTTTGCGCACTGGCTACACTTCACGGATTTGTATGCATTTAGGTTCTTAATCACCCGTGACATGTTTCTGTTCAAGTCAAGCAATATAACGTATAATCACCGGGTGGCAACCTAGGCCTGCTTAGATGCTGGCCACACGACAAGGATCCTTTGTTCAAGGTTCGAGTCCGTGATTCGTGTGTCGTGACCTGCTTAGGACAAAATATAACTGCTGAAATGAACTTTGCCCATAGCTATTATCATTTCACTAGTTTTGGTATCAGAAAACTGGAAGGTTAACAGTCACCCACCGGGTACCCATTCACTGCTTGGTGAAAAAAGGCATATTTCAAAACTGCATAAGGGGACACCACATCTGCTTCATATGCTCCTCCAGTTCAGACGCCCGAGTAACTCCCAGGAGTCCCAAATGCTGTCATCCATCCTACATCTCTCCGAGCACAGCACTGATCTACAGTGTTGTGAACAATCTGTCGTGACTTGTTGACGGGCGGAGCAAAGTCTCATATTCACACCATACAATATAGGGGACAATACAAGAGGATACTGAACAATATAATTGTTACATAAAACCGGGGAAAATTGTCCTGAAGATAACCTTCGCGCAGGCACGCTGGGTGTCCTGTAGAAGAGGTATTATGGGCAGGAATTATATTTCTTCGTGCAAAGAAACATTTTGTGCGTTTTCAACCACGGTGGAACGAAAGTTTTCCTCAAAGTCAAAGATATTTCTGACAGATCCCAGCTTTTCTTCAAAGGTAGGCTAGACCTCACCCTCTGATTTATCACGGTTGTAATCAGACAGACAGTCCGGACAGAGACGCTGGGTCGGTATTATCAGTTGATACTGTAGATTCAGATGTATTACCTGATGTAAACAATATGTTGTCTGTGGGAGGTTCAGACAACAACTGTCTAATTTGCTGTGAAACTAAGATTGCAGACCACTCAACAGGACATGCTTAGTCTGTCTCACAGCCCATACAGCCCAGCCCTCCCTGCAATGCTAAAGCCCTAAATGAAGAAAGTGTAGATTTCTGGATCTCTGGTCTCCACGGGGCTCAATTTATATGGGTTTATTTGTTACAATCAAAATTATATTTGTAGACATCGATGCACAACCAGTGGCATCGACCAGCACGATGTAACTCGGCAATGATCAAGAATAGCTCTAGCGCACGCACACACGCACGCAATAAATCTTCTCGTGGACAAATGTGCTTGTCTTCTATGTTCGTATTGCCAGTACAGCTCATCATTGCATTTCAATGCTGTGATGATTCATGCAAAACTGCTACACTGCGACATGTTTGTGTGAATGTAGACCCCAGACAGACAGGACTGTCACAACAGGTCGAAGTCCACACGGACATGCCTTGGACACGAGTCATGGCTGCCACGCGTGCTGGCACTGAACACATTTAAATACAGCACCAGATTAATGTGTCATTTGTCTAAGGATTAACTGTTTTACAATTATTTTGTGACGAAATTGTTTGTATGAATTATTGTCTTGCGTTAGTGAGTTTTGGAAGCTATTATAATATGACGTCACAATCTGCACTACAGCCAGTACAATGACTACGTGGTCGAGCCCTGTGACGTACAGCGTCAGTATGGGACTGTGGCGGACACCTTCCTGACACACGCAATCTGGTCCTCGCAAGTCGGCTCTTGAGTCAGTTCTTTTTCAGATATAAAATCTGTTATTAAGTCGGCTTTTGAGTCAGCTCTTTTTCAGATCGCAAGTCTGTTCGTAAGTGTGTTCTTATATCAGCTCATTTTCAGATTTTAAATCTGTTCTTAAGACGACTCTTAAGTCAGCTCTTTTTCAGTTCGTAAGTATGTTCTATGTCGGTTGTTTTTTTCAGATCGTAGGTATGTTCCTAAGCCTGTTCTATGTCAGTTTGTCTTCAGATCGTAACTGGGCTCTTAAGACTGCTCTTGAGGCGTTCCCACTCAGTATATAAGTCAATTATTTACTCCTGATCAGTTTCTAATTTAACATTTGATAATAACAAAGAACCGTTTCAATATGAATCCACAAAACATGCGAATCTACCACTCTTTCTTCAGAAATCTCCATTAAAAGTTTATATCATTGTGAAAACCCAGGCGAGTGTTTATGTAAGAGATAACTCAGTATGTACACAGAATAAACGAAGGTAAAATGGAGATGGTGTGGTCACAATGGCAACTGGACATGGACCACTGTAGACAGATGAAACCTACGACATAGATCCACTTCTTTAAGGCCATGGCTCCCCCAGCTGTAACAAGTTGTTGACTTAGACACTTCCAGATGCTTTGATAACCAAATCATCCCCTTCCTGATAATGAGAGGGTTGTATAAAATTATGGCGGTAGATACAAGCCAATATTGCTGTAGTATGATATCGGACGCGTGAGATTAATATGTTAACAAGTCGTTAATTCCGCAACAAGCACTTCCGGGGGTCGTGTTCGTTTCTGGAGATAAGCAGCGAGGTCTGCAATATGAGTGTGTCGCTAACCTATGTCCTAGACTTGCACAAATCTTCACGGTAATAATTGATAGCTTAAATGATCATTTCTAAATGAATATGAATAACAGGCTGTATATGTACTGTCCGCTTATCTAGACTTGCTCCTTTAAAGGATAGAATTACTATACATCCATGGGATTAGCATTCAGTTTGGGCTTGGAGCAAGGCTACCCTTAACCCTAAGTCCACTAAGGTCAAGGACACAACATATGCAGAGCGAGCAGAAGACACGACATTGATTCCGTATCTGTGTCTTACAGATGTTGGCAAGTGTCTCCGTCACCTCTTAGGTGATGTCCAGCTCTTTGGTTTATACCAGATCCCGTTACTTTGGTAACACTGGACTGATGCCAAGGGACATTGGTTTGTTTTTTCAGCAGTGACGTTGTATCGGTTGTTATTGGAAGAGTGGGTGAGTGAGTGAGGGAGCTGGGTTCGGGCCGATGTGAACAGCGTGTCAGCTTAATCTGGGATGACAGCCTGAACGGATGCTGGTCTCTGCCGTGAACAACTTTAGTGAAACCCACAATCACAGGTATGGTGCTGGCTAATTTAGATATCATAGTCGTGATTAGATAGGCTCCTGGTGTGGCCAAGGGACGCAACTCTTGCCACCTTATCAAACGATCTGGGCACCTGTGCTCCGACAGACTGAAGGAGGCGATGTTTGCATGATACCTTTACCCGCGAGAAAGATTACACTCAGCGTCTGGGATTCGAACCTACGATCAACGGATCCGATCACGACTCTAGACGGCGAATACTATCGTCTTTGTGGAGTGATGCAATTCTGAAATGACGTACGTGAATCATTTTCCTGAATTTGCAGCCCAAACAAAAAGGCACGCACACATAACACCCATGCTTCCGCCACTGGGCGACGCAGTTGTACAACCAACGTATGCCACGTGCAAATCATTATGACGACCTCAGCTTTGCGTGGGTTAAGAAGCAAAAACGCCCTGAAATTTTATTCCGATGGGAAACACCTGCCCTGTGATGAGTACATGCGGTCCACCCAATACGCCAACAACAACACCATTTTACTGCGAAACCTCGCTAATGCGGACGGCACTGTTCGTAGTAACACATTTCTGGATTAACGTGAGGTGGTGGTTTGTTCAGAGTGACGTGAGTCTGTCCATGGTTGGGAATCATACTGGAAGTAGGGAACTATTATATAGTGATGCCGGTATTGACAGAGTGCACTGTATACAAAATGGCCGTACAGAAGGGTATCCGGATTGACAGGGTTGACTGTACTTCGGACAGGACGGATTCTATGTTAGTCCTAAAACTTAACCCACGCCTTGTATCGTCTGCTCCAGTATAAGTAATGAAACGCTCGCTTATCCGGACTGTCGTGCGGGTTTACGAGATTCTATACTACCCATCAAAAGTTTACACTCACTTAAAGCACTCACTATATGTTATGTATATACATTTGGTTACATCAAAGTTGAATTTCTCCACTAACTTGGGGGAACCAAGTGCAAACCTTATGCAGATGAATTGCACGAGGATCATGCATCAAATTGGTAAAGAGCAAGTGCAAATATCGTGCATGTGAACAGCTGCGTTTTGACTGAAGGGGGTGATGTAAAATGCACACGTAAAGAGCAAGTGCAAATATCGTGCATGTGAACAGCTGCGTTTTGATGTAAAGTTTTGTTAAGAATTTGCCAATTTTCACTGATTTTCATCATTTACTGAACTCATGACAATTCTTTTTTCAACGTTACGAATTTGTTCCACATTACATCAGTTCACGTGTAAACAATACCTTTACACAGGATGGAATATTTGGCAAAATCTAGTACAGAACAGTTGAATGAAGAAAGTGGCTGCATTTACTCTGGTGGTTCTAAACTTTTGATGGGTAGTATAGTATGTAAGAATCAGATATTCCTCGTTTCGACGTAGTTTGGTTTGACCTCTCCACATACGTCCTATCATACTGATCAACTATTGTTTATATCCGGTTTTCTCTAGATACATTTAGCAGGCGGCGGGGTAGCCTAGTGGTTAAAGCGTTCGCTCGCCACGCCAAAGACCCGGGTTCGATTCCCCACATGGGTACAATGTGTGAAGCCCATTTCTGGTGTCTCCCATGTGATATTGCTGGAATATTGCTAAAAACGGCGTAAAACCAAACTCAGTCACTATATACATTTAGAACATTTTGTATTTCACACAGCGCTTACACAGATATCACATTCCTGGCCGCACATTAGCCAACAGTGGCGAAATGTATAATTTCCTTAAACAATGACTGTACGTTTCACTAGGCATTCGTTAATCCTTCAATCCACTTTCGCCGGAGAATATTTGAATATTACAGGCAACGCATTGTGTGCGAGGCTGGGATCCACGTGATGCAAGACCTTTCAGAACAAACCTATTGCCTATAAGAATGGATACATTTACATAGTCCCGCATTCCACGCGTGTCGGTGTGTACATTGCCCTTCATTACCAGCTGTTTACCTGGCAGATTTCAATTTATAGGACCCTCATACCACCAACATTTGAATGTTCAACTCATGTGAATAGTATTCCGTATGCGGAAATGAATTTCTGAGTTTTTTAAACGCGTTTATATTCGTGACATTTAGATTTTGTGCGACTCACACGACAGGTTTAAACATTTCCGTCTGCGAGGTTTTCTAGGTACGTGTCAAACACTTAACACAGAAACTCATTCGTGAAGTCTAATAACTTTTGTGTCTTATCATCCTTCACGCTGAAAATTCTTGTCTAGATTGTCAAAGCACAGTGGGACCCGGGTAACACGAATAGATCCAGAAAAGTGAAGAAAAAGAGACTTTAGCTGCCTCTCTTGTGAGGCATACTTGGGTTTCTCAGCCGCGTGCTGCTCCTTAAGAAGATGCCATGACACCTGTAGGTCGCATACATCGGTGACCTAATGCTCAAACTCCCTACTCATAACGAAGGGCATTTGAGTGCATACTCCCACCTGCTGTGGGCGAAATAAGTCGCCTCATATTAATTACAATATTGAAATTTGTTTCCTACAATAACCAGGACATGTGAACATTCGAGGGATCCGAAAATATACGAAAGAACATCTGTCAAGGGCATTTCGACATGAATAGTACATAAGGAACCACGTTAGTACAATCTAGTATATCTACTCACCACGTTAGTACAATCTAGTATATCTACTCACCACACAGAAGAAGGATTCCACATAAGAGAAACAGGGCGAGAGTTTGACGTCTGTCCATCTTGATACCGTAACAAACCGCTGTTGTGTAAGTGTCATTGACAACTGAAATCTTCAGCTTGGTTTCCGTATTTATAGTCAGCCAGCCTCGCGTTGAGTCACGTGTCACTTCCCCTCTACAGCTACAGCGTACAGTGTGCAGAGTTGGCCAAAAGTACTGCCCCTGCACCCTGTTGGCGAATAGAATTGCCCAGGTCAACGAAGGCCACACTCCAGGGCAGTTCCAACCGTCCCTGTGATGCACGTGAGGTTCCAATTCAATTTTGGACCACCAAATCTGCCGGCAAAATAGTTTTTCACGGAAAACACCATGAAAAGGGTGATATGAAACTATTGTTGAAACAATGTATTACGGGGACATACACAAATAACGTTGGCGATGATTGTAAAGGTGGTTTCAAGACGTGCCACATATTCTACACGTGCATGGGCTTTCTTGGATACATTTGTTTCAGGGTCTGTATGACAGACTAGTGAAGGGGATGTAATGTTTATCGTAAACAATGTATCGAAGTGGGGGCTGTTATTTGGAAATAAATGTATACACAGGGATTGTTGAATACACAAACGATTGTTGATTGTAAACATTTTGTACTGGTGCAGTGTTTATCCAAAACAATATTTTGAAAGTGAGCGAGCGAGCAAGTCAGCGAGTGAGCGAGTGCGTGAGTGCGTGCGCGAGTGAGTGAAATTTAATGTCACGTCGGCAGTATGTCAACGATATTGAAAATCCCATCTAAAAATAAACTTAATGAATATAAAAATCTGTCAACGAAGGACAGTAAAGTATCTATACTATCCCAGATGAACATGTACATTTAGCATGTAATCATAGAAAGGTAGATAACCATGCTAGGGACCATGGGGACTTTCGGTATCTTTGCTAAAGGCATGGACCCTAGGTGGATTTACACCATCCACACATTCACGGGCGACAATTGGTACGCTTAGCCAAAAATTAAAATCACATATATACTGCGATTAATACCCGAGGCATGCATAAATATACTTCTAACTATGTGGCACTTACATACCATCCTAGGGGGACAATTGTTTCACGTTACTTCAAACCCCCTCGAGGGTATAGTCACATACAAAGTTAGGTTTATATATTTTATTTACAATATTACCATGTACATCAAAACTTATGAATTAAATCAATTATCATTAAAATGCAAGAATTAAATGAGGGATGATGTTATTAAAAAGGTCATTCATTGTTGAAGCTTTGAAATATTTTCCAATATCTTAAGAAGAAACGTGTGCATTTTACATCAGCTAGTGTAATATCGCCGCTTCTATCACTTTCTAGTGAGTGAGTGAGTGGGTGACTTTGTCGTAAAGATTGTGTGACGTTCTTGTTGCAGTGAGTGAGGTTTAGTTTTACGCCGCATTCCGCAATATTCGATATAATCGAACGTTGTTGTAAAGGACACCGAGTTTGAGATCATGTAGAAACAATGGCTTCTGAAACTACGCCCGTATCCAGGACACCAGGTGTTCGCGAAATGGACGAGCATGTTAAGAACCCGTCATGGTCAGAATAAATAAAGACAGGCATCATTAGGTCGTAGTTGTAAAGAAGTTTTTCTAAAAACAACTTGTGGCTTTGGAAAACACAGTGTCTATAAGTTGGAAGGAATCTTTGGGTCAGCGTTGTAAGAGAGTTGTACTCAAGTCAGCATATAGCCGTAAATGACACGGGCAACAAGAGTACCACCAGCTAGGGTCCCTCCTAAAGTACAAATACTATATTTGCACTAATGTATATGAAATATCTGCTGACCTCATTGTCCTTTAATTAGGCCTGGCTTCCATTTGTTTTCTTTTCCGTCGTTAAATGCCACCATTGTTATCTCATGCCTGGATTAACAATCAATCAATCAATCTTTATCCTCTGTTTAACCACCCACGGTGGTACAAGAGCATTAGATACATATTACACATAAATTTGATAACATTGTTGGAAGGTCGATGCATAATTTACAGTTTCTGCGTAGCTTTAACACGGTTGTTGATAATAGATATAAACTTTAATAATTTCTTAAGAATAGACAGTTTGTTGGATGCGAACAATCATTTAATTCATCCCTGGCTTCCACTTGTCCATCCACCTTACTTATTTAGTGCTAGTTAACTACTGGCTTCCCTTGATATCTTATCACTGTTGTTGTTTCACATGTACCTATATAGATGTCTGTTTCCTAGCCTTTCATTCACCTGATGAAGGAGTAGTAATACACTACGTAACGTAGTGCCCCTCAAAGTAAAGAAGTTGACATTCTCACCTTTATGTGTATCCCTTCTAAATGCCGTTCAAAGACTCTATATGAAACGAATCAAATATAAATCATAACCACTACTACTTAAGACTAGAAGATTTTATAAAAATGCAATATATATTTATTTGATTAAAATAGCCTTTGTGTGTGTGAGTGTATGTTTGCGTCTTGTTACGTGTAACTGAATCAACGTATGGATGAATGAAACTTTCTAGAGGAACTTAAAATATCTTGAAGGTCGGTACTTCAACTTTACAAATGCTGGATTAAACATATCTCTTGAACAGTCTATTTGAATAAATATTGCTGTACACACGACCGACGTCAAATTCCTTTCCAAGATGACCTCTGGAGGGCGCCTTTGAAGGTCAAAGGTTTCACTTTTGATGATTATAAGGCTGATACACAGGCGAACCTACGCGACAGCAGGTACCACACAGATAGCTTGCTACATGACGCATGACACCGGGTGTGTATTTGTAAGGGGCGGGGAGAGGGGAGAGGGTTTAAGTTGTATCGGATTCTGGTGGCATTGTTCACTTCCGTCCCTTGTTGGTCACATGATCAGCGACGATGCCATTCACACAAGGAGCCTCGTTGTAGACGTTGAGGTTGTTGACGCAATCGCCGCTACGTTTTGCGCCGCATGTTATGCCCTCGTGCGTAATAATCACAACCTCGTGTCCCCGGTGACCACATAGGCTTGGTATGCTAACCACGTCGACAACGACTTCAGACGTAAAGTGAATCAGATTGAATACGCGATGTGTACACAAGTATGTGTAGGTGTGCGCGTGCGCCATTGTGTGTGCGTCTGCCTGCGCGTGCGTACGTGTGAGATGTGTGTGCCTGCAACATGATAACGAAGTTGTCTTTCTTATGAATTGTGAGAAAAAATGTGTACGCCTCTAACTTTAATATTTAACTCTGTATCATACATTCCCATTCAACATACAAGTTCAAAATACAGAACACCTGGTCAAGTTTAACTTCCTGGTGTTCCACGTCATCCTGTATACGTCTGGCACCAGCACCACTTCAAGACTTCAATATATGGTGTCAGAAATGGCGTGTAAGTAAATATATACAGAATAAAACAGTTTATAATTTGTAAAAAACACCCCAAAACCCTCCAACAATTTCTGTAACAAAAAGAGGGCTAGTTTGTATATGCTATGGAGAGTATGTCGTCTACGATTGTGTTTATATACCTTCGATTAACTTTGAATGGCCACCCTGACATACACAATAAAACTATGACGTAAATGACTTAAATCTGCAGGAAGAACTCGATCTATACAATAGACAAAGAATATTCTGCAATTAAGAGGAAACGTAAAAGTAGAAAAAATATATCTGAGCTTTGCTGATATTCAAACAAAATTAATACGAAGTAAGAATGATTCATGTCTGCATGCATTGGGAGTGATTTGCGCGGGTAGAATTAAGTACGGCCAGGCAGCGCAGACAGGCGACCCGGCTTAGGTCGTAGCCAGGATTATCCACGTGTCACCAAGCACCATTACAAGACTGTGGAACCGTTATAAGACGTAGGGTTGAACACGTGACCTACCCAAATCCGGTCGACCATGTGTCACAACTGCAGCACAGGATAGGTTCATACAGGTTCGTGGCTTACCTTTATAACAGAGTAGGACCACAGCAGTGATGGAGCCAAGCTTGGTTTAGTGACGATGTTGCTCGTAAGTGAATGCGGGAGTGGGTAGTTTGGTGGTGAAAGTGTAATGATGTTGGCTCCCATCTCCCATATCGGTCGAACAGATCTGGTACACGTCCTGGGCAATTTAACAGGCGGACGGACGTAGCACAGATGAAATTCTTCGGCCACTCGTCCTTCCCATTATTCATCAAGCAAACGTCAATACGACGACGCCCGACGTCACACGGCAAGACTGAACACGGCCGTTTGGAGAACAAACAACACCCAAGTACTGTCCCTTAAGTCTCCCGATCTAAACCCTATGTAACATTTATGGGATGCTCTTGATCAACGTCTGCGATAAGGTCAGCAACAGCCACAGAACATCCAACAGTTGGCACAAGCATTACAGGAAGAATGGGTGGACATTCCCCAGGCCGAACTGGGATTGCTTCCAAAGGGAGAAGATGCCAGGCAGTTTTGAGAACCGATGACCTCCACCTTGACAGTCGATTGTTTCACGCGTGCCATGATGAACCTCCGCCCGTGACAATGGTTTCTGCCAAATGTGAACAATATATTATGATCTGTTGATGGTTTATATAATACATAAAGTTGTACGCGTCGATTCCCAAGTTAAAACTAAATACGTAACCGTGAATCGGTGAACTAGGTCGGAAACCAACGAACAATAAACAAGTGTGCTGTAATTAATAATTTTATTCTAAAATTAACCAAGTTCACAAATCGGTACAAATAAAGAGACAGGTATCACTGTAAAACATCTGTAAAAACAATACAATTATAGAAAACAGGTATCACTGTAAAGCATCTTTAAACACAATACAATTATAGAAAACAGGTATGACTGTAAAGCATCTTTAAAAACAATACAATTATAGAAAACAGGTATGACTGTAAAGCATCTTTAAAAACAATACAATTATAGAAAACAGGTATGACTGTAAAGCATCTTTAAAAACAATACAATTATAGAAAACAGGTATGACTGTAAAGCATCTTTAAAAACAATACAAATTATAAAAACAGGTATCACTGTAAAGCATCTTTAAAAACAATACAATTATAAAAACAGGTATCACTGTAAAACATCTGTAAAAACAATGCA